GAATTGCTTCTCTCCATCTGCCACGTGGGTCTTGGGATCAAAGTCAGGTCTTCAGACTTGGCAACAAGCACCCTATGGGCCGAGCTGCTCTCTAATAGCTCCTTCACTACACCCAGGTATGGTTCTCACTTATCTAGGCGGGCTGTCTTGGATAAGGATTTTGCAGACATATTTGCAGAAGTCGTGCTGGAAATTGCACAAAGCACAGGATTACTCTGCGACTGGGGTGGTGATTTCTTTTGGTAGTTGCCTCCTTTCAGTCAGCAGAGCAATAGCTGTGGGCTTCTCCCCCCCTGCCTCTGCTGTCTGTGAAGAAGGCAGGTTGTGGTTTCCTCTGTTACCCTGCCTTCCCATTCCCTGAGGCCAAAGGCAGCTCCTGACACCAGACTACACATCCTGTGCCCAATGCTCTGATTAGACCTTGGATTCTTCCTTCAGGAATCCCAGCTGCTGGCCTGCTCTGCAGGCTTCTCCATAGCCCTGACCTCCAAGGTACCTTCTCGAGGTGTTTTGGACCCGTGGCTTTGATCTTGGCTGCTCCGGGTATCTCTGGCTGTGTTTGGCAACCTTCCCTCCTAAGCTGTGGTTTTGGTTACAAATGTGTCCGGTTTTGCTGAAGAGGGTGTTTGCATTTCTGTTTCTCTTTCTCCTTGATTTTGGACAATTTCAGATAAGAACTTAAGTCATTTTATTCTGTTGCCTTTAAGCTATTGAGTTTTGGGGATTTTTTGTGATTGAGTATTCTCTCAGATCAAACGTTACCCAAAACTTTTCCAAAGAGAGTTGATAGCAGCTAAAACGGAGGCCTGAAAGGGAAGAGCAGGGGAGTTGAGGCCAAAACTGGAGGGTTAGAAAAGAAATCCAAAACATGTGTGTCAGTGCTGAGTGACAGCAGGGGTCCTTCCTTCCCTTCTTTGCTTTTTGGTTGGGGTGTGCTTCTGTGAGGGTCGGGCATTAGACTTTCCAGTCAGTGACAGAACACCTGGGAAAACAGCCTAAGGGGAGAAGGGTTTGTTTTGGCTCACAGTCTCAGAGTTTCAGTTCACTGAAGGGATGTGTGGGAGGGAGGAGGGCAGATCTGATAGTGGGGCCAGAAGCATGCAGGGATGCCTGCAGCCATCCTGGAGGTGCACCTGACTATTCTCCCAGGCAGTCGTCAACCCAGTGAAGTTGACACTCAAGACTCATGTGGCCAGGGAGACAGCTCAGGTGGTAAAGTGTTTCCTCTACAAACACAAGGACTGGAGCTCGATTCCCAGTAGCTATGTAAAAAAGTCAGGCAAGGTGGTTTGTACTTGTAATTCCAGCCCTGGGGAAATAGACAAGGTAATGGATCCCAGTGGTGTGCTGGTCAACCAGCTTAGCCTGTTCAGTGAGTTCCAGGCAAGTGAAAGACCCGTATTTAAAAAATAAGGCAGATGGCACCTGAAAAATACATTCACGGTTGACCACTGGGTGCATATGACACACATATGTGCATATGCACCTGTATTCACACACACACACACACACACACACACACACACAGGTGTGCACATACACTCAAGAAAAAAGAACTATCACAAGTTCACCTCTTATCAATTAATATGCAAACTGCATCATTTCACCTCAGGCTCCCAAAAGTCTCAATTCTATCTCATAACATCTTCAAAATGCATTTAGTCACTTTGGTGTATCCCAGAGTCTCAACAATTGCAACATTGTTTAAGTCCAAATTATCCTCTGGACCTCCTTGCACACACTCAGCTGTGGACCCGGCAAAATAAGAAACAAGTCCCATGCTTTTATGATATGACTGAACATCCCCATTTCAGTAGGGTGTCAGGGAATGGAAAGGACAGAACCAAAACAAAACTGAACCCTCTTAAGGAAAACCTGGGGCAAGAGTAGGCGTCATGATGTCAGCTCTGGAAGGCCCCAGCACCCTTGATCCTCTGACCTTGTCGTTTACAGCTTTGCCGGCTTCTCTGTGGGCTGTCTCTGCCTGCTGCCTTCTTCAGCAGACATCCCACCACCCAGCCATTAAAGTTTCATGCATCACCCTCTAGGAGGAATCACTTGGCTTTTCCTGGGAATCCGTTGGGTGCAGGACTTCCACATCTGTCACAGACTATCTAGTTACCTAGGTCTTCCTTTGTAATTTTGGTTTAAGCCCCACCTGGTCCAGTAGTTCTTGCATTCTGTGTGTCTGCAAAACCAGCATGGTGGATAATGCTAGATTTGCCACCTCCTCAAGCAATAGCCAGAGCATCTTGGATCATGGCTAAAGTGGTCTCTGAATGTTTTGATGATTGAAAGCAGGGAATATTTTCTAGATACTTGGTGCAGGCAGGGTATCCTGGAGTTCTCTTCTTGGAGCAGAGTCTTTCAAGTAAATAAAACCCTTCACACTCTTGAACCAATTCCCCAGATGCTCTCAAGGCATCTTTCTAGTTGTCCTGATGTCCTCCTATAATGGCTCTAATCCAGTGTTTCTCAACCCGTGGGTTCAGACCCCTTGGAGGATGAACAGCCTTTCTGCAGGGGTCACATATCAGATATTTATTTTTCCATTCATAACGGTAGCAACATTACAGTTATGAAGTAGCAATGAAAATAATTTTGTGGTTGGGGGATCATCATAACATGATGAGCTGTTTCAGAGGGTCGCAGTGTTAGGAAGATTGAGAATCACTGCTCTTTCTCTCTTTAGAAGCCACACTATTGTGGTTTCTGTATTTGTTACTTTTCTCATTGCTGTGGCAATCCTGACAAAAGCAACTTAAGGGCAGGGTTTGTTACAGCTTGATACATTTGTGGTGGTGGTGGTGGTGGAGAAAGCTAGATGGCAGGACTGGAGAGCAGGTTTGCACCCATGGTGAGAGATGAGTAAGACTAAAGGCTGGCTCAGCTCACCCGCTCTGTTTTATTCAGGCCAGCTCAGGGAATGGTGGTGTCCACATTTTAGTATGAGGCTTCCTACCCCGAGCCAGCTCAGAAACTCCCCCACAGCACAACCAGAGGTTGGTCTCCTAGGTGATTCTGCGTTTTGCCAAGTTGACAGTCAGTAGTGACCGTCCCAGTCCATTTTTTAGTGTCTGAATCTTCCCACTGTGTATTTTGCTTCCAGACCTCAACTGTGAATCTGGCCAAAGAGCCAAACTTAGCCATAGTCTGAATAGTAGGCTGCCCTGAGACTCCCTCCCGGGAATCAGTTCATTCTCCACCTTTAAATTCAGCCTCTGAGAAGTCTCAGGACCTGGACAAAATGTGCACAGCTTCTTTGCCAGAGAATAACTCAAATGGCCTGGGTTCAGTTCCCAAGAGACATTGTTTTTGCCTGGAACTGAATGAGATGTGTCACCACCTTTGGCATTCCTCTCGGCATCCTGGTCCCCTAAGGTCTCAGAATCACCGGTGAAGCTGTACTTACAGCGTTCTCTGGCCAACTTCTCCAAACTTTCTGAATTCTTCCAACAAATTAGTTCCATGAGCTTCTACACCACATGGTCAGGAACAGTCACCACACCTGTGGTGTATCTCAGTGTCAGCTGTGTTTGGCAGCCTTTTGTGCTATGACAAAATGCCTGACAGAAGAAAGGATTTATTTCCCTTGCAATTGCAGAGGTTTCTGATTAGCTTGGCAAAGAGGGCATGGCCCAGTACAGCAACTCACATCACGGTGATGGTGGTCAGGAAGGTAGGGGGAGAATATACCTACAGTAGGCAGCTTTCTCTTTCCCACCTTTCACTCTGTCCAAATCACCAGCCTAAGGGTGGGCATTCCACCCTTGCTTAACTCTTTCTGGAAATGTCCCAGCAGACATACCTAGAGGTGAGCTTTACTAATCTCATAGGTGCTTCTTAAATTGACGGTGAAGATGAACCATCACTGATAGGAAGTCGTGGATAGGCAAGACAGAGCATAGTAGCATCCTGTCTTCTCATTTGTCTTGGGAAAGTTGTCTTGAGCCATGCCGCTTTCAGGTTAGGGTAGAAGAAGGCACACACCTGTCCTCTGCCCACTGTGGGAGTCAGGTAGGGCAAAGCTCAACCTTCCTCTTCCCATACTTAGAGCCATTTAAGCACCAAAAGATGCCTGGAGCCCGAATGACCTTACTGTGGTCACTTCCTCCTCCTCCTCCTGGAAAACTGCCACCATGCATTGAGGGATGCTAACTGGGATAAATGTTATCAATGATATTTCTATATCCAGGGAAAACATTGGTGTGTTCAAGAGAAATGATTCCCTGTGGGATGCCTGGAAAACAAAGCCAAGAGGACACCTGCTTCCAGGGTCTGAGATTTTATCATATTATCTTTCACGTTTCATACCACCTGGAGGGAGGTGTTCTATCCCTTCCTACAGTAAAGTCAAGGAGAGACTTCAAATAGAGAGGGATCTGTACCAGTGCTCTTTGGCTCCACAGTTTGGATTTACCAGTTCTCTTTTCCTCTTTCTTTGCCATTTATTTTCCCGTGGCGACAACACACCATCCTCAAATAGTTTCTGGAATCCTTGTCCCTGGGTGACCCTGCTGGATACTTGCTCTGTGTCTTACTTCCCAAACCTGGTTTGGGAAGGTTTTAAATTTTTTTTTTTTTTAAGCTCCAGACAACTGGAGCTCGAAAGTCATGAGTCACATGCTAAATGTGTATAGCCCCGTGTCACAGCACTCCCATTTTTTTGAGGTTCAGTTCTGCTCGAGACAGTGATTTCCAGTGGTTGCTCTGGTGCTGAGATTTTGAGAGCAAAGGACCTTGGTTTGACAGTTGGCTCAGTCACTTATTACCTGTGAGACTGGCTAATCACTGACCTCTGTAAGATTTAGATGAACGGGGAACCCTTAATCAGTGAGGACAGTGTCTGCCATATCTCATATACTTGGAAAGTACTAGATATGAAGTATCATTAATTATTATGCACATTAATTATGTGGTAGGGCCGGGGCATAAGTGAAGGGATGAGTAGCTGGCTGTCCATGCTTCTATCATAACCTGTGCCCTTTGCTTCCTTCCAGGAGCTTGGGCCCCTGCCACAGCCCAGCAGAGGCTGTGGAGAGCAACCATCAGGAAGCCTGGTTCCCAGCCCCGGGGGCCATCGCTGGCTGCTGCGGGGAGTGGAGGCTCCTGCGAGGTAGCAGTGGTCCCCTCCCCATAGTGAGCCATGGGTCAGAAGCTCTCTGGGAGCCTCAAGTCCGTGGAGGTACGAGAGCCAGCACTTCGGCCTGCCAAGCGGGAGCTTCGAGGCTCAGAACCCGGGCGGCCAGCACGGCTAGACCAGCTGCTGGACATGCCTGCGGCAGGGCTGGCTGTGCAGCTGAGACATGCGTGGAACCCCGAGGACCGCTCCCTCAATGTCTTTGTCAAGGATGATGACCGCCTCACCTTCCACCGCCACCCAGTGGCCCAGAGCACGGATGGCATCCGCGGCAAGGTGGGCCATGCCCGGGGCCTGCATGCATGGCAGATCCACTGGCCAGCTAGGCAGCGAGGAACTCATGCTGTGGTGGGCGTGGCCACGGCCCGTGCCCCTTTGCACTCAGTGGGTTACACTGCACTAGTGGGCAGCGATTCCGAGTCGTGGGGCTGGGACTTGGGCCGCAGCCGCCTCTACCACGACGGCAAGAACCGTCCTGGGGTGGCATATCCTGCTTTCCTGGGGCCAGATGAGGCCTTCGCTCTGCCAGATTCCTTATTGGTCGTGCTGGACATGGACGAGGGCACGCTCAGCTTCATCGTGGATGGCCAGTACCTGGGCGTGGCCTTCCGTGGCCTCAAGGGCAAGAAACTGTACCCGGTCGTGAGTGCTGTGTGGGGCCACTGCGAAGTCACCATGCGCTACATCAATGGCCTTGATCGTAAGTTTGCTGACCTAGATGGCAAAGGGTGCAGAGGCTCCCTGCCCCAGGAGGCTGGGGAGGGGGGATGCAGAGCAGGTCAAGCAGCAGCTGGGGGAACCCTGCCGTTTTCAGCAGTGGTCCGGGCATAGTTTTGAATTCTGACCTCGTTGACTGCTAGGCAGTTTGGAGGCTGTGCTTTAATTTTCCCATCTGCAAATGGCACTGTAGTCATAATCTAACCCAGGGCACTCAGGAGGGTCACATGGTTATAATCCAACTCAGGGCACTCAGGAGGTCACCTAGGGTCATATGTGTACTTAGAATAGTAAATGCACTTGATAAGGGCTGTGAGTGCTAAAGAGATTTATGAAATGACCCAACCTGGCCACAGCTGGAGAGCATCACCCACACCCAGTTCCTGGGTACAAGTCTAGCAATTAAACGAGAAGTAGTGTTAGCAACTGTCATTTATTGCTGCCTACTGTATGCAGGTCCAAATGCCCAAATCCCAGCTCCTTCTGGCAGCTGTCAAAAGATGTAAACTACTCTCCCCTCCGGCTGTGTGTGCATGTGCAAATGAAGTCCTGTACTATGGAATTTTGCCATTTCCCCAGACAACCTGAAATCTAGATACTGTAAACTGTCCTAGGAGCTGCTAAAGGCTATGAGGTTGGAGTGAAAATCCCCCGTGGGCTGCTGGGTTTCACCCCAGCAGCATGAAGTCCTCCTTTATTTAAAATGCATTACCTATGAGGCGATTTAAAAGTCACAGTAATGCCAGGTGGTGGTGGCAGTGCAGGCTTTTAATCCCAGCACTCGGGAAGCAGGGGCGCTTGGAGGAAGGGTAGCTTCCGGGAAAGGCACACATGGCCCAACTCGAATCCCAGCGCTTTGCTGGGCTTGCTCACACATACTGGCTTACATATGCCAGCTTTTTAAACATGAAATGTCCCTCATAGGCTCATATGTTTGAACACTCATCCCCTTCAGAAGAAGCCTTGTGAGAGGAAGCTGACCATGGGGGGGGGGAGAGGTGGATCTTGAGTTTTTATAGCCTGGCTTCGATTTATGCCAGCCCTCTGCTTCCTGACTGCAGAGGTCATGTGACCAGCTGCCTGCTACTTCTGCTGTTTGTTACACTTTCCTTGTCATGGTGGGGACCATATACCTTCTTAAGCTCAAGGCAGAATGAGCTTGCCCTTAAGTTCCTTCTTGCCAGGCGTTAGGTCGCAGCAGTGGGAAAAGTGACAATGGGCCAGTCCACCAGCCCCCATCTGCACCCATCTGTAGACTTCCTCCCGCACCCCTGCCAAAACTTACGGAAGTGAGAGCGCTTGCAGCCCAATTCCAGGGTTCTTTTACAACGAGAGGTATAGTTGCCAGCCAGTGAGGCTGATTCCAGAGCCCCACCCCCTATTCAAAAGACAGAGAAAACAAAAACAAACAAAAAAACCTAAAGCACAGAGCTTCAGATCCATAAGCAGCACCCCCTCACCCCCAACCCACCAGATCTGTTGTCTTCTGAGACCAACCATTTCCCCATGTTTCCTTGCTTCCGTTGAGAGCCCAAGAGTAACATTGCAGCAAAGGAGCCGTGAGCGGACAAGGTTTGACTTGTGCGTTTGCTTGAGCAAAAGGTGGGCTGACAGCTCACAGGTGGCAGGCCAACATAAAAGTGACTGGAGTCCCCAACCCTGCTATAATTGGCAGCATTTTTACTGGCATTTGTTTCTGTGGTTGTTGAACTAAGATTAATGGTGGAACGATGCTCCATTTTCTGTGTACCTGTAAAACCCTGGAGCAGATGAGTCTGCTCTGAGAGGGTGATCGTCATGGCACCTAGTAGGAAGTGTCTGGAATCCTTAGATAGACATGGTGAGGCGAACCCCAGGGTTGAGGACACTGGCACCATTGAGCATTCTGGTCCAGCTGGGACGTTTACTGCTGGAATCCATTTGGGCTTCGCAGCAGAGCTCTGGAGGTGTATCCTGTACCTCTGTACATCCTCCAGTGAGCCCTTCTAATTTCCTAGGATCCACTACACTCATCTGTAAAATGGGACATGAGATCCCTTTCTTAGTTTGGGTGTTGGCATCAGTGCGGTAGCCAGGATCAAATGTCTGAAATTGACAGCAGGGGGAGCTAAGCCTAAAAAAAAAAAAAAAAAGAGTATTTCCTTTTGGCTATTTACCACTCCAGTCTATTCCATGGTCTTCGACAACAAAACTAAGGCACTAACATATTGTCCCCATGGCTCCCTTGTGGCTGTTAGAGTCAGGGTTCTTCTGCCTTGCTGAAGGAGTCTGCGTGGGAAAGAAGCTGTGTTTGATGCATTTTGACTTCATGGGTCCTTTGGATAGTTTTGTCTTCCTCTCCATTGGCTGGGGGTTTTCAGCTTGGCAGAATCTAGAAGCGGATTCAGGAGGGGCTGAGATAGTGGAGTAAGATGTCATGATGCATCCTGTAGCGTCTCCTATTTGATGATCAGGTAAGTTTGTCTGGCATTGTGCTAGCCTATTCTCCAGACAAGATTGGTGCCCTCTACCTTGGGTAGAGGTATGATGGCAGAGGGGCAGCTCAGCTAGGGAAAAGTCCTGACTGTGTGCTAGCCTGGGCTACAATGGAGTACCAGGGCTGGGGGTGACTGGGAAAGAGCTATGCTGAACATGTAGGGGGTAACCTGGGCCAGATCCCACCACGAATTCCCAGGGAAGGAAATAGTTTGGCTTCTGAGTCCCCGGGTTGGGGAGGTGGCCCAATGTGAAGATCTGTGGGTTGAAAGAATTCTGAGCCTTTGTTGATTGTGGACTTGGTAATCTGACTGGGGTTGGGGGATTGGAATGAAAGAATAACTGGGAATAAAAGGGTGCCCCTTGGGGTTACTCCTTCCTCAAAGCCTCAGTGCCCCTCTTCAGCTTGGGTGATCAGGCACACCAACACTGAGCAGACACCTCATAGCTGGAGCCCATTGCTGCAATTAACCAGCTGAACTGGAAGAGATGCTGGGTATCATGAATGGAATACAAAGAGTGGCCTTTGTAGAGCTTTTCCCTCTAATGCAATTGAAGCTGTTAATGGATAACTCCTTTGCAATTTATGATTTTTATGACTGCAAAAGCAAGCCTTAAAAGGTCTTACCACACTGAACTCTGAAGCTCATGTTTGACGGGACAAGAGCTCCTAGCAATGCAGTCTCCTCTGGCAAATGTATGATGCCCAGGAACCTGTCGTGGATAGAATTGTTCTTTTCTGCTACACCGTGGAATGATAGGGTTTAGCATTTGGGAGTTTACTGCAAAGACCTGAAGGATGCTCAAACATCTACAACTGAGAGAGAGAAGTGTGTAGCTGAGATGTAAGCACACCAAGCCAGGCACATGACTAGGCTGTCTTAGTTGTCTAGAGCCAACCTAGTAATGGCAATAATAACACCAGCTAGAAGGATCTCATCCTGCTGGGCTCTTTTCTAAGCCCTTTGTAAAATTAGTCATTGAAATACCCCATAAGCCAGTATATGGATGATCATCTTTCATTCACCGTGAAGGAACTGATCTGCGGTGAGCTTGAATGAGTTGCTCAAAAGCACACAGCTCATAGCTGAGGAGCCTGGATTTAGGCTGAGGCAGATACGCTCTGAGACTCTCGTGGGGACCCTTTGCAGTCCTGTGTGGTGAATTTAGGTGAGATCCTGCCATACTGTCTCTGTTGCATTTTCTCCTTCCGTTGCTTCCTTCCCTGTCCTCAAAGAATCCCGCAGAGCGCACTGAAAGCTAGGCTGAATGCAAAGGATGACTCTGATACTGTTTGGAATCAGGTGTCTTCATCACTGAGCAGACAAGGTCTGGAAGATGCCCCATCTACTCTGACACCCACCTCCAGGGTGGCCTGGCCTTGACTGGTAATGCTCTCTAGCCTTCTTTCCACATGCTGGATGGATGACAACAGCCTCTGGGCCTCAGTAGCTTTGATACAAGGGGACTCATGCTTCTGTTTGTCAGGGGGAACCCATGGGCTGTGCCCTAAGCTGAACGTTTCACTCGGGCGTTTAGTTTGTGCTGTTTTGGGGGTGCTCTGCACAGAGGGCCTACAGGTGCTCAGCACTGACTTTTGGATGAAGAGTGGGAGCACAGGTAATGTGTCCTGGGGCTAGCTGGCCGTGGAGGCCCATCCACTTGCGCCAAGCAGAAGAAGCTATATTTCCAGACGTCCTTCCTAGATGGTTTAATTGATCTGCCAACAAGTATTTATTGGAGCAACAGTGCAGCCAAGGAGGCTGGCAGCCAGCCAAAGCTTCTGGTATTGATGGGGACCAGAGAGGTTGTCCACAGGATGACTACAAGGACACCCTCCCCTTGTTGAGTGTGTTCCCGCTCTGTGCTGAGCCCACCACCTTCCTGTTCAACACTCAGGAGTCTTGTGTGGGCAGTGAGGTCCTCCCAACTTCCCTGATGACGGGATGTGGCTCCTCCACCAAAGTCCATGTCTGACCTCCGCATCCTCTCTCGGTTTGTCACCCCAGCTCACTGCCAACCAGAGAGACCCTGTGTCTGCGGCGTCAGTGAGTATCCCCAGACCCCACTCAGTGGGTTTGCCCACTTTGCTCAAGTAATGGGAAAGCACTCAGGCAGGGATGACATTTGGGAGACATTTGTGACAGGTGGAAAGAGTCGGAACCTAATACATTCCTTTTATCAGGTAAAGATGTGGGTTGGATAACAGCTGTCAACAGTACACACAGTTGTGCATTGAACATCCCCGCCACATCCTCCAATCCCCCGACCCCTCTCATCCTTGCCACCAGCCACCATCAGCAGTTTCTTGTGTATCCTTTCAGAAATATTTACGACAGGGAATTTTTAGATCATGCTGTAAGCAGAGCTCTGCACCACGGTTCCCTCCCACTGCCTAATGGATCTTGGCAATTGTTTAAGTATCAGTTATGGTAGAATGGCCTCATTTCTTATTAACAGTTGCATGTATTTTCATAGTATGGCTGTCTCGTGATTTAATTATTCAGA